AATGTAAATGCTGATGAAATTCTAAATTTGCCAGACATTCAGCTCCCACAAACAAGGTATGTAAGCCTAGTGTAAATTTGTTTTCAATTTTTCCTTTAACTCTGCTTGATACTTAGTTATCATTTCCATTTTGAAAATATAAAATTCATTTTCAGCATGTTTTTAACTAGTTTTATATTATTAAATAATGTTAGTAAAAGTTTGTGATATTAACAAATAAAAATACAAAAATCATTAGTTAAAGAAGTTATAACTTGAACAACTGTGAGATACCTAACTTGATCCTCTGAATGGCAAGTTCATGTGTGATACCAAAATCCTTTGTGGGAAACTAATATCTTCCTTTTTCTTTTTGAAATAGTATCCTTTACTTTGATTATGACTGACTTACCATAATTTTAACTTGTTGGTCTAAAGCAAGCATGAGGAGAAACTAATCTTTTACCAGCTTTGTTTTACAATATTGTGAAGTGTTAACTGTTACAAAAAATATTACCCCATTATTAATATGATTACTCACTAGTGAGTTCAAGATGTAGAAAGGTAATTTTTACCATAACAAATTTTAGACAAGTCTTGTTGTTTGTTAGACTTCGCCCACCAGCTTCAGCTGTAAAACTTGTAAATAACTCGGCAGAAGCAACAATGGCTCTTAATTTAGTTATGGCCCAGCTTGCAGCACAAGAAATCCCTGTCGTCATTGAGGCATTTGCTCAGGTGAGTTTCTGTTATCTTTATCAATGTGGTGAGGTTTTTTCATTTTACAATTATATATGTACAAACTGATCGTTTTATCCATGAAATAATTCAGGTAGTTATGAAGGTTTTTTTATTATTATAAGGAAGGTAATACCTATTGTATGATGCTGTAAGTGTAATATTATGCTTTTTTATATTTTCTCATATAAATTTGTGGTTTTGTGATTTTCTACTTTATTCAACTATTTCAGATAATAGGATATTTCTTACATTTCTGTGCACACTGTTTTTAAAATTTGCCAAAGTGTACTAATTCTTACAACAAGTTATTCAAGCTCACTTTGAGATGATGAGTTTAATTAGCTTTTGCTTCTAGAAACTATTGTAAGCTACCATTTATTTCTTTAGGTTGAAGAAGTGCTGCGACAGGATGATAAAGCAGAGTCTGTGCTGGGATCTAGGGTTGATCAGCTGCTTCTGATGGGTGCTCTGCAGTACCGACTTGCCCACAATAAGCACATGGGAGATGACAATATATGTAAAGCAGACGTCATCAAGCTTTACCGATGTGTCACAGTTACGCTAGTCTCGGTAATGATTAAACTTTGTGTGTGTGAGAGAGAGAGAGATTTCAATTACTGATGAATTAGTATCTATCTTTGATAGCTAAAGTTTACTTTATTCTTGAATCCCTGCTCATTCTTGAAACTTAAATATAATCTCAAAGCTGTTTTCATTCACAATTCCATTGGATTCTTGGTCTAGGTGTCTGTAGGTGTTTGAAGTATTACCTGCATTAGTCTTCAAGTGCTCTTTTATATGCTACTCTTAATGATGCGTGGTTCATCTAACATAATCTTTTCCACATCAAGAACAGAGATTGGTAAAAAACATAATAGTGTTAACATTTATTTATTCTGTCCTTTATCTTGAAAAGTGCATTATTTTCAACACTGATTTTAAAGCTATACTGTTAAGATTAAGGATAGTTGGATTTCAAAATATTTTTGATTTCTCAAATCATAACTGTTTTTACCTATAAATTGGAGTCTGATGTAGATTGACAATTTTATCTTTACAAAGAGTGTACACACTATTTATGAAACTTTTCAAAATGATGTTGAACAATTATAGATGAAAACAGTTCACAATTGGTGATATAATAAGCTCTATAAAATGATACTTATCAAATTTTAAAACTACTTTTGGAGTTTAATACATAAAAAAATAATATAAATAAAGCAAACTAGTGTTTTTATAATTGACTAATGTATGCTATTTACAAACATAATGTACTGTCTTTTCATAATTTTCCTTATAATTTAACTATGTAATAAAAATATTTATTGTATTATAGATATCATAAGGATGAAGTATAATAAATATATTTTAAAAATCTTCAGATGAAGGAAATATATGTAGTTATTTTGAATAGAGAATATTATGTAAATAAATTAATTACAGTAATATTGGATGAAACTAAATTTAAAAAACTTGCTTCTGGTCCACAGAAAAGAATGTCAATTACAAACACATTTGTTAAAGCTAAAGAAACGTCATGATTAGTGATAGTTTATACAAAGATATAAGACTGGTAGGTTCTTATTGTGGTATATGTTTTACTAAATAATTCAAAAACTAATTTTCCCATTAAGCCAATAGTTTTGAATTATGTTTCAAATTTCATAACAGTATTTATGTTCAAGTAGATGGTGTTTCTATGGGCTCAAAATTAATGCCTAGTTTAGCAAAACTTTGTTTTCTTGAAAAACACTGGTTGAATAACTGTTCAAGTGATTTTAAACCTATTAAGGTAACATAGGTAAGTTGATATCTTTGTCATTTTTATGAAACAAGAATGTGAATTTATTCATAGAATATCTAAACATTTTTGTATTAAGTTTACAGTTGAACAAGAAAACCTGAATTTGTCTGTTTCAGATCTTGATGTTTAATAACAGGAGATTAGAATGTATCATAAATCATCAACTACAGGATTGTATAGTTATGTAGACAGTTTAACACCTGTTACATATCAGGCCATTTTGATTATAGAGCTTATATTTCCAGTAAACATCATTATTTTTATAAAGAAATATATGATGTGAAAAATGTTTTGTTCAAAAATTGTTTTAATCTGTCTTTGCTTAATGTTTCAAAATGTTTCTTCAGTTTTGTATATGTACCCTATATAGTGAACTACAATGTTCCGAAACTCTAATTCTATGTCAATCTCCCATTTATAGGTAAAGACAAATATATTTAGAGAAATCGAACTATCTTCATATTTCAGTGTGTCTGTAGCTTTAAAATCAGTATTGAAAATATTGAACTTTTTTAAGGATAAAGAATATAATCAATAAACTTCAACAATCTTCCATTGTTTATTGATATGTTAGATCTTGATGTAGATAAGATTATGTTAGGTCAACCATGTGTCATTTAGAGCATTTGAAGCCTAATTCTGGTACTTTTTCAAAAACTACAGACACGTAAACCAAGAACGTGATGGGACTGCAGATCAAAAGAACGTTGAAACTATATGTATCTATAAGAACAATCAAAATGTAAGACTTGGGGAAATTTTAGCTATCAAGAAACCACAAGTGATTATCAAAATACTAGTAGTTTTCTTTTAATATACGCTTGTTTGAAAATACACGGCTAGACGAAGAGAGTTGACCATAAAGTTGACACTTGCATGAGTTTTCTTAAGGGTGGCATATCCAGTAGCAATATTTAATTATTAGTTAATAATTTGATAAAATGTTTAGAGGATAATTTACAGAAATAATCTTAGGAAACATAGTGTGAATATGAAAAAACGTATGTTTGAGCTGCTAAAAGACATAGAAAATACATTTAAAAAATTTAATACACTTGGTATTTATAGTTGTTTGAGCACAAGAACCTTGCCAAGCGTGCCAGCCGTGACGTACTGCGAGATCTTGTCCCGCATTTAGTTACTGTCATGTTAGACACCAGGCTGAATGAACTGCAAGAAGGTCCTCAAGTTGTTCGTGCAATCAACTTGCTTATTGTTAGGATCCTTCAACGTTCTAATCCAACCCATGTTATGAGGTGTGTGGTTGATTCATATAGTCTGAAATCAGTTTGAACAGCAGTGTTTAGTTTGTATATTTAACACGTTACATGTAAATAAAACTAATAAGAGTAAATACAAAATGTTTTGTAAATCACTAAAATACACACAAAGTAGTTAATTCTATATTTTTAGATATATACATTTTGTGATTGTGTTTGAATTATTCTGTTTTTATAATTTTATATGATCAAATATTATACTGATTCATGATTTACATAGAATTTTATATATAATGCTTTTATAACTTTGTTTGGAAAAGATGTTACTGTGTAATTTTTGTTTTCAATCGACCATAAAAGAAAAAGTAAATACTGGTACTTTTCAGTTCTACTTGTATGCTCACTAGTCAAACTATGGTAATTCAGGTTTCTTGTTGTTAGTATTTTACTGAGGTATTGGAAGCAAATCAGTTTTAGATATTTTTATATATATTTATATTTCATTTAAAATAATAATAAGAAGCACATTAATTTTATATTGCAAGAGTGCTTGATGTAACCTACTTTAATAGAATGACAAAGAAATTTATTTTTTTACACTGTATTACATTATTGAAGGTATTGATGATTATCCAACATTGCTTTAAAACAATCTTGGTTTTATCTATAAGCTATTTAACTTATCACTGAAAATGTACTCACTTTGATACTTGTGTTACTAAGTGTCTCGTATGTCTTTACAGTGCCCTGATTAAGCTGCTACACGACTGCGTGGGGAGTATGAATACTTCTGACAGGTATACTGAGCTGGTGATGAAGGTAAGATCTAGTATATGTGTAAGTTGAAAGATAAGTGTACATTTTACATTTTTTTTAATCTTGTTTAAAAAAATACTTAAGCTTTATTTGCAGAACTTTGCACAATATTAACTAGCAACAAAGATTTGTTTGGTTTTCTGTTCATTAATAATCTAAGAATTATACAGTAGTAACACAGGCTAATGTTTGATCAGAAGATTAGCTGAAGGAATTTATATGGTATGTTTTTTGTTTGTGATAAAATATTAGGGATCATGACTGTAATAATTACTTTTTTGTTCAATGGTAGTGGTTATATATGTTACTTTTATTTTCAAGTGTTTGTGGAAGATGTTGAGGATGATGTCTCAATACATAAATGAACTCAACGTAGATAGAATTCTTTTGGATCTTCACGTTTTCCTAAAAACTTACCCGTCATCTTACTGGAGAGACAGATCATCAGACACCCCAATTCGAACCGTGAAAACAATTCTTTACACCCTAGTAAAGTTTAAAGGAGAGGAGGTGTGTTTTTTTTGTTTGTTTTTTGTGAAAGGATAAATTAGAATTAACGTACTACAAATAAGAGAACACTGAAATTACCAAGTGTAGTTACTGCATACTGTTATTCATACTTTAGATGTTAACAGAACCAAATTGTACAATTTAAATTTGTTTCAAAGTTAGATTTATGATTTGTTAACTGGATGTGCTGGTTGTATGTATCTAGTGTTTTTAACTGTTTAAATTTAGTAACCAACTCATTCATGTTTGATCAATAAGCTGAATCTTCACAGACTGAAATGACTCTGGTTGTAAGTCAGTTTAGGTGTTTTTATGCTATTCTTCCTTTTCTCTAGTTTTGCAAATATTCTAGATGAGACTGAATTAAGTTTAAAACAACCCATTCATACTTGGACATACAAAGAGAGTTGTAGATAAAGAGCAAACCTCTGTTAAGTGTAAAACTGAGTCGATAACTAGATTAATACCCAACAGGCTAGTGTGGCATATTAATTCAACATTTAAGATGAATTTCAGGTTATTTTTCATCAGTCTTCCCTTTAGAAATTTAATCTTAGGTTTTAATAAAAATAACATGAAATCCAAATGCCAAATTTGTACTGCATTTGTGAAATATAATAGAAAATGAGTAGCTCTAAAAATGTTTTGAGATGATAATTACATAATTAAACTACTTGAAGGTGTAAGAAGTATAAAGCCAAGCTGTAAGAAGTGTTAACAGTTGAGTTACTTGTCACAGATATCTCAGTGAAACTTTTAAAACCTTCAAAAAAGCCCTTATTTTTGATCAAAATATTCCAAAAAAACTAAATTTGAAGACAAACTATATTTCTAACCAAAAACTGCTGCAAAATTTTTGGTACTGCAGTTATGATATTACCATAATTATTCAACAGATCTGTGGAAATATAACAATTTTTTGCAGCATTTTTGCTGTAGGAAGTGGGGAATAATTCAGACTTGAATAATTCAGAATAATTATCAGAACTTGCATGGTAAAATCTTTGTCATCACACATAAGGTAATGAATTTCTTCATAAAAATTGTATAAATTGGTATAGAAATTCATATCTATCATTAGTCAAATATATATTATTTATATGTATTTAGCTCTATATTTTGGTTTGTAAAACTACAATTTACTCCCTATTTCTAGAAAAAGGAACCTTTAAAAGCCTTTATTTTTACATTGGCCCACTGGGAGACATTTTATCTCATTTACAGCATTTATTAAATCCAAATAGACAAATGCTAGTCCTGATTATGAATATTCTGGTGTATCCAGACATTATAACACAAAATTGAAAGGCATGCAAAGTCACAGTGGTATATTGAAAAGTGTGATGGAAATTTTATGTTCATTGGATTAGTCTATTTTTTTTCTGTATCTGCACCACATTCAGTTATATACTTGCATATTTTAAAAATAAATTAAAAAAAAGGAATTTTAATTGTAAAAAAATGTTAATATCCTTTTTAACATAGATAATGAAGCACCTCATGCTCATCTCCAATCGTCAAGAATCAGACTTGGTGAATTACCTTCAGAAGATCCTTCATATGAATAAAGATGGGGACCGTAAGTCTAGTACAGGTAGAAGTAGTGCTGGAAGCACTCCAAAACATATTGAGGAAGGAGATGAGAACAAACTTGAAGGAAGCATTCCGGGCAACAGAAAGGTACTGAACAAGATTCTGTTTTTCATATGTAACATTAACAAGTAAGTAAAATAGTGTCTGAGACTTGTTAGGATATTAAACTATTTATTAACTTTAAAAGAATCTTGCACTCTCTACTAAATAAGTAGTTTGACAAGATGTTTCCTGTGAATGTTATTGACATTATAGAAATCAGTTATCAAAAACGTTTGTCATTTATTATGTAGATCTTAAGTTTTATATAGAACATGTAACAATATGATAATGTATGGTACCATAATATTACCCTAAACATTAGTTATCTGATCTTTTAGCAAAATAGTATAAAAAAAATGTTATATAAATTAAAATTATTATATATTGAATAAGAATAATTATTGGATATTCATACTTTAATTCAAGTTTGTTTCATGAAATTTTTTTCTCTCTTCAATTAGAGTAAAAGCTCACCTATGAGACTTTCCAAGTCTACTCATGAGACACTGGCAGAAATATTTAAAAAAATAGGTTCCAAGGAGCGCACGAAAGAGGTAATCTCCTTTATGATAAGGGATATTTAACGCACTCTTTCATTGTCAAATACATACATGATATCTTGGAGACCTTTACATTTAAAGTTTTTATCATTATTATTTTTTGCTCAAAATATGTCTTGATTTTGTATCAGCCCCAAAGAAAATCATATTTTCATAACTTTTGTAACTGTGACATAACATCTGGTATGACTAATGATTTTTAGTAAAAATCTGTTTGAATAGGTGGCTATACATCAAGTAGAGATAAGATAGTGAAAATATATAGAAATTACATAAGGAAAATGTAATATTGAATTATCAGAATGTAAAAAAAAAACTTTGTTTTATGCTTTGTGTTTTGACTTTTTCAGGGTTTAGTTGAACTTCATGAATTCCAACAAAAGCATCCAGAGGCTGACATAGAGCCCTTTCTCCAGGGTTCTTCAGAGTTTTTCCAAAACTACATTCGTCGAGGGCTCAAAGCTATTGAGCAGGAGAGAGAATCAAAAGATCAGACTTCACAACCTACTACAGAGGGCTACACAGAATTATCATCAAATATACTGAAGACTAGCCAGGTGACATTAGGTTACTCTAGTACTAATGGATCTTCTGTGACTTATTCAGGGTTTCAAAAGTCAGAAACCACAACCACTTCTACACTGTCAACATCCGTAAAGCAGAGTAAGTCATGAATAAGCTAATTCTTATAATTTTTACATATATTTTCCACATATCCATTGAAAATTATCACCAATATGTCTTAGCACCTTCTTAGAAATATGCTTCATTAAGGAAAAATTGTCACCATATTTATATTTAATAATTATAACTTATCCTTCAGTTTTATTAATTTTTCAGTCTTCTAAGTCCTCATAAATGCATTATTGTAAACAAAAAATTATATTTCAACCCTATCTCTTATCACATAAGCATGTTGTGACAATTAGTTTCACCAACATCTTAAAAGTCACCAAACTTGCCTCTCTCTGTGCAGCTCCTCTGTCTCCAGGGCTGCCACCTCTGCCTCCTGACTCTGAAGATACAACTCCTATGGACTGGGTCGAGTGGCTAAAGAGTGTGGCTGCCCGCCTTGGCCAGGACAGCTCCAGGGTAGGCAAACATTTAAACTTGGTTTACAAAGATTTATTTCAAGTAAAAAAAATAACTCTATGGCTTTTGAAAATAGTATGTATGATAAAGCGAGACACTTTTTAAATTTCTACAAGTTAAGAGTAAGGCTTAATATTTTGTGTCTTTAGTCAAGCTTTGTGTAGCTTTAGTTACAATCACATGGTCATTATTTTACTGACTGTTTGACTTTTTTTTTCATATTTGTATTTTACTATTAGTTATGAGAATCATTTATTATATTCACTATGAAAAATTAAAACACTGAAGTGTGTTATCATTGCCACTACTGGTTTGCCATGCTAGGTTATCAATAACGTTCCTACACACCGAGCTTTATTTTTTAGATGTAAAATATGCACCTGATAAACTATCATCATAATTTTGTTTATTGTATTCCTCATAATACTGTGTAAAGGAAGTTTTATTGTTTGAGGTTTTATGTTTCAGATGGTAAAATAATTATTTTCACTAAAAGTAACAGGTATCACCGAATCATGTTTAACGCTCTCCATAATTGGATTCTAATTACATTGGATTGACTAAAGTTTTACGCTTTATAATACTTAATGTCTTACAAGCCTTTGTTGATATGTATATAATCACAGTCTTAGTAACTAACTTTAAAATGTTCTATTTTTTAGTATGATGATAAGGAGTTTGTCCAAAAGTTGGTTGGAAGTTCAAAGAGTGGCAAAGGAAAAGAGGTAATGATATTAGACTTGTAATAAATCCAATAGAACTAAAATCATCTAATTAGTGACTACTGCTCTTAGATTAAGTATGGTAAATGCTTGTAGTATTAAAATATGAAATTATAATCAAAGAAAAAATAAATGTTTTTTTTTCAACTGGATAAACTTAATTATGGCAGACTTAAAGCGTACGTGTTATTTTTATTAACATCTACAATAAGGTGAGTTTGACAGACATTTTGATTTACACCTTTGTTCTGTGGGGTCTGTTTTCAGTGAAAATTATATGATAAATTAGTATATGCAAAAAGTAGAAAACATTATAATGTATAGTTGCAGAATTACTTATCTAGAGAAAAATTTGAATATGTATTAAAATCAATGTGCAACAGAATTGGCTGGAAAAGCACATTGTTGATAATTTCATGTTGGGAAGCTGCAAGTTACTGATCACAAACTTTTCATAGTTTCAAAGTTTTCTTTCATTTGTTCATGTTACAGTTGAAATTGTGTGTTACAAATTATGCTTAGTTTATGTTTTGGTTTCATAGTTTTTCTTTTTCATGTTACAGTTGAAATTGTGTTACAAATTATGCTTAGTTTATGTTTTGGTTTCGGTGCAAAATGTTTTTGTTTTGAGAGTGGAAAACTTTTAATTTCACTCATGCTTTAGTAGTTATATATGACGTTGCATACAACAAACCTTTGGGAATGTTGATTAATTAATGCTTAACTGAAGGCACAAAAGACATGTCAAGTTAAAGGAATTAAACTCTTACTATTTTGTATAACTGAAACCCTTTTAAAAGAGGTAGTTAATTTGACTCTCTACTTTAAGTTATAATTATTACTACTTCAGTTAGTAGCCCTTGCTTAATGTGTGCACAGACTGAAAACCACTGACATTTTAATTGTGAGTGTTTCTTTAATAATCAGATAAAATTAACTGATAGATTAAAAAAATATTACACATCCAGTTGGAAGTAATTTGTGATGATTAACTTCTATTTTTGCATATTGCATTATTTTTTAAGCTAACCAAAATGTTATCATCCTCTGTGTTTTTTTTTCAGTCGTATAACTTGCTGTAATGGTTTATGCTTGTTAGATGGAAAGAAATGTTGGGATTGGGTACTAAATTTGGAAATATAAAATACTGTTTATAAACATCATATTTTTGTAACATTAAGCTTCCTGTTTTATAGTATGGCCAGCTTACAGATGAAGAAATGGAAGAAATACAAAGATGGACTCAAGAAAACAAGAACTTGCTTGAAACTTTCAAACGACAATACTGCAAAGATGTCAGTGTTACCAGCAATTGAGGCTTTATCTTAACCCTTCCTATTAAGTTAACTTGCTTTTTATAAAGTGTACTCACATGACTTTTATTTTATTATGTCTTCTCATGCTAGAAACTTTAAACTTCTGTCAATCTTCCCAGTGAAGGAGAAGGTCAGCATGCTTAGTGTATATTTTGAGCCTCTTTATTGTAAAAACTTTGTTGTATATTAGTGATGCCCTCCCACAATGTGATATGTGTAGCTAGTTTAATGTGATGGTGGTAGCAACTAGTAAATTTGGGGGGCATAATTTTCCTTAAGTTTAATACATTGTTTTAATTGTCTTATCTTACTTCTGCGTTTTGTTTCTAATAACATCAAGGAGAAAATAAAAATTAATGTCAAAAAGTTTTGTTCATGTGTATTATTTAATACTATTGAATCAGTATGCTTTCTCAAGAATTTAATGAAGTACTTTGTAAACCCTTAAGTCTCAAACATACAAGGTTTGTTACATGATTAGGAACTGGTTATTTAGAAAGAAAATAGAAGTAGCCTTCAAAATATAATTAACATGAACATTATTATACTTACGACAATTCAATTGGATTATGAAATTGATTTAAACTCTAATGGAAAACAATGTTAATTTTCAAATAACTAATTAATGAAATAGAAAATGTGTAAGCTTACAATTAACAACGAAATATTAAAGAGGTTTTGAGTTTGTTTTTATTATTAACATAGTCATCCTGCAGTTAAATATTTATTGATGCTGCCTTGACTATTTTTTTAATTTAAAAATGAAAAGTGATTATGGAAATAGAATGTAGCATAACAGCTTTACAGTGATCTTTAGAAAGAAGTTAGAACTGATAATATAGTGTATTAAAGTTTTCTGCTTTTGTGTGTGTGATTATGTATTAGACATTTTTGAGCCAATTGAGACAAACATTAATAAACAAAGAAATGAGAGAGATTCAACATAATGATAATGTTTATATATTATATTTATTAATGATAGATAGGGCAAAGTAATGTGAATAAAAGTGAAGTTAAAAAAAAAAAAGTTTCACTTCATAAACACCAAGAGTTTGTGTATGTTTGTTCCCAGTAATTAAAAATTTCGTTGGCTATTTGATTATTAAGTAACTGGCTGACTACATTTTTGTTGTAAAAAAAAAAAAAATTTTTTTTGTATACTAATACCATGTTCGAATTATATTTTAATTTATAAATCCTAAAATGGTCAGTCTGTTTAAAACATTACCTTCAGTCATTAATGATTATGCACTATATATGTTTAATTCATCATTTTATTTTGATTTATTTTCATTATATTTGGAAAAAATAAAAATATGTACGTCTTAGCGTGTGACATATCTTTCTATTAGAATTATTCGAAAGTTCTTGTTAGGTCTGTTATAGTGCTGTCTCCAAATCATGGACAGCGTCCATGTTAGATAGACATTTACTGATCTCTAGTTCTGACATTGTTTGATAAGCTGTATAATGAAATAAGTATTTTATTTCGATATCTCTAAAATTATATGTTTAACTTCGACTTTTTAAAATAAAATTTGGGCTCTCGTTTGGATTTTTCCAATATACCTGTTAGTGATACAAACCAATCAGCTTCTGTTCTGCTTTCACGTAGTCAATTTCTAAAAGTGTAGGTAAATGGCGTAACACGACCTGACTGTGAGTTGGAGGGTCGTGTTACGTTTTAAAGTGTTATAAAAATGCCAAATGCTGAAAGCTAGCACACCTACTAAAGGGTAAAAACTTATTATTTTTAGAAATGGAATTACGAATGGAGCTAAAATGAATTAACTAGTGTGTTTCGTAGTGTAGATTTCAACCGCTTTTTCACTGACCAATAAGAATTTAAAATGTAGGCTTCATTGAGCCACAAGTAGTTCTGGTAAACATAAAACACTTCAAGAAAACTATGCTTAAATAACCCCATGCATTTGGGAAATTAAACATCTTGTGGTTTGGAAACAAAAGCTTGTTTTTCCCAACGATGACAGCCAGATCTCGGTAGTATTAGAATAATTCGACAGATATGTCACACTCATGTATAACGTTCAAAAGAGCTTAAATCCCTCGCGATTCCAGCACCACCAACAGGTGGGAGAAAAGTGGGTCAACTGGGCCCGGGCGAATAAAACCTGGTTATGCCGCAAAGTATCTTTAGGCTATATCTTCATTTAATAATAAAAACCATAGTTTCTTTGCATATAGATGCTTGATACATTAAGAATGACTGAAATAATAATTAGTATATATTAGTTACTTTATAGATTTAATAAATATTTGCTGTTACTTTATAGATTTAATAAATATTTGCTGTTACTTTATTAACGTTTTTACGCTTATACTCTGAGGTAAAAACGGCTGCTGCTATGATTTTGTTTGGTTTATGAGCTCGTTGCTGTCCTAATTTAGGATCTTCTTTTTAATAAATTCTTGAAAATGTTAAAAAGAGAAAGGGGGCCCGGCGAGGGTGTTTGACCCGGGATCCGTGCTGGTAGTCGACGTTCCTGACGACCAATAGAACACTGCGCGTGTATACTAAACTGATAAACATCAGTACAAACTTAAAAAGAAAGTGATTGAACATGTTTCATATCTTTGTGCTAACAACGATCATCTTTTAACCCCCAAATTATATTGTGTATGAACAATCTCAACATCTTTATTAAACTTGGTCTATCCTAATTCCAATGTTCAGTCTTTCCGTAATTCATTTGAAAGAATTGTACACAATAAATCATAAATCACATTTTTTCTTAATCGTAAATTACAAACAAAATTGGTGCATTAGTTCTTAAACATACGGGTTTATTAAAGAACCGTATATCAGGTCAGAGTATGTTGACCATGAAAGCTTGTAGCGTAATATGTTTTGTTTTTCTTCAATACAGATCTTTTAAAAACTACCCTTAAACTCTACGATGTTTATGTGTATAATATAAGGCCAACATGAAGACCGTGTATAAATATCTATTATATATGCTGGTTATCTATGAGCAAACATATAGACGCACCCGAATGTGAATAATGACATAATTGTCACAAGTGTTCAAAAGTCATTGTGCATGACCTTCATTCATATAGCGTAGGAGCGCCATCTATTAGTAATAGATCACTGACTAGATCAAATAAAATATACTTGAATATCAGCAGATTACAGATTGATTATTTACTTTTGTATAAGATATTTCTTTCAATATTTGAGCAAATTATAAGACATACGGATCCTGAAAAATACCTAGTCACGTGATGTCCTTGAGATCTTCATCAAAACAAGAACGAGTGACGATGTATATGACAGTAACAGTTCAGTATTGGCCAATAAAACGGCGAGTAGCGTTATTGTACACAGCACAGCTAGTGTTATTTCGTTACCATGAGTAGTGAAATCTTGGTTAGTTTATGCGCGCGGCTTTTTGAAGTAGGAGTCGTAAAATTTGGCAAGTTTACTTTGAAAAGTGGTCTACAGACGCCAGTTTACGTTGATTTAAGATTATTAGTCTCTCATCCTGATTTGTTGGTGAGTTATTGTTTATAATATAAGCGAGCTGTAATTATAAAAGTTTTTGTTGGCAGTGTTATAAATATACCTGGTCTAACAAGTAATACTAATAGCCTAAAATTAAGACCAACAGGTTAACTGGTAGACACTTGTTCAAAATTTTCATTTTTAATTAAACGGTACGCCCTCTCACGGTGTAGTTTTGATAAAGCGCCAAAAATGCAACGTTTCATACTATTCGTATTATGTTTAGCATTTCAGAGTTAATGTATTACACAGTTGGGAAATAATGATTACAGCAAAGATAAATAATAAGTGTGTGTGTGTTACTCCGTGATGATAAAGTACTATAAATAATATGTATTGCTTGCTCATTAAGATTATAATTTAAAAAGAGTACCAGTAATAAAGTCGATGTAAATCGGAACAGTTGTGCATGAAAATTAATGATATAAATAAAGCCTAGACCCATACTATTTCTGTCGTAACCAAGCTGGCCTGATGAGTCCTGGTATTAGTCGAAATGCCTCGATGGCACTGGATATGGTATATATAACGTCGTTGATATAACGTACTCTTGTTTGGTTCACTTTTAATTTCAAAATTATTAGACGAAAGACAACCGCAAAGTTTTATTTCTGACACTTAAAGAAAACAAAAACGCATTCTCTTCTCTGATTTAACAGACTGATACATGAACCCTTTACAATTTTAATGTAGAATAAAAAATATAATGATAATAATAAGAATCCTCGCTTGGTTGTTAAACTAGTATTATTACGGTTAATGTCTAGTGATAAGCTTTGACCTTTATGACACCCCACCCCCTACTTAAAGTGACTCGGCAGTAAATCTGAGGGCTCATAACGTTAAAAAAATCGGATGCAATACCCGCGATGGGAAGAGCACAGATAGCCCATTATGTAGCTTTGCACTTAATAACAAACAAACAAACGTCTACTCTGTCTACACTAGGGAGTAATTTTCTAGGATCCTAGCTAATAATATCTTTTCTCTATGATGGACATGCTGCAAGACTTTATTTTTGTAACTAGACTCTTTCTGACCAGTTATCTTCCGAACTTCATGTTTTTTGT